ATGTGATGGTTTACTTAATAGATTCCTATGTCCCTATTCCTTTCACAAACTTTATTTTGGTCTTTTGTAATTGAGATATTCTCCCTCTTTCCCTCTCACTGTTTTTGGCAAATAAACCATCAAACAAATAAATGAATAAAGTGTCTTTTATTGTGAAGACCAAGGCATCATAATGGAAATATTTTCAGTTATGTTTATCAAAATACTCCAGTATTTTAACTGAATATAGGATTGTTGTTTCATTACCTAATTTCTGACCAGCAGGGCAGACTTCTGTGTACTAGACTTTCTTCTTCTGTACATAGATAGCGTTCTTATAAGTATCATCTGCAGTGCAGGCTTGGTGGTGTTGAATTGCCTCAACTAGTACTTGTCTTGAAATGTCTCCTCAGCTTTTAAAATCAAATTTAATAATAGTTGTATTGGATATAACACCCAGTTGGCAGTTATTTGTACTCATGGCTGGCAATGTTTCTTTCCATGCATCTCTGGCTTTGATGGTTGCTGGCAAGAGATCTGATGATTTTGCCTTTTTAGGAGAGTTGCCATTTTTCACCGTGCATGTTTAAATACTCCTTCTTTATTTTGTATCTTTTTACCTTTTGACTACAATGTGTCTGGAAAAGTTATCCTCTGTCATATCTATCTGGAGCTCTAAATTTGTGTGTGTGTGTGTGTGTGTGTGTGTGTGTGTGTGTGTGTGTGTGTGTGTATTTGAGTGTTCATTTCTCTAGATTTATGAATTTTTCTGCTGTGATTTTCTTAAGTAGATCTTTATCCAATCAGTGTTTTTTTTCAATCCCCTTCTCTATCTGGTGAATTCTTAGGTTTAGTTTTTTGATTGTATCTTGCACATTGTGATCAAACTTATTTCTTGCTTTCCCATTTATTTAGGTACAGGATTTTATTACTATTGTTTCCTACAAACTATAATATTCTTTCTTCTGTTTGGTCAGATTTGTTGGTGATGTTTTACACCATATTTTGTGTTTGATTCATTCCATTTTGTAAAATCTCAATTTCCTTGGTGAATATCATTCCTCGTTGCTGACTTTTTCACTCATGTTGTGACATTTCTTATTTATTCTACTGACTTTGTCTTCCATTGTTTCTCACCTTCTCCTCATTGTCCTGGATTAAATCCATGTTTGTATCATTTTTTTAAACCATTGATTGCTTCTAAATAGAAAATGTTTGAAATCTTCATTTGGCATATTTGAGCTATTATGGAACATTTGAGTTCATCAGTTGAAGATTTGTGATCTTTTTTAAAGGGGGTCATGTTACTTTGTGTTTCATTTCTCATGATTCCCATGTGGTTGTTGGCACATCTGTTGATTAGAATGCCTCTTCTGGATTTTGAAGGATTCTGTTCTTATGGATCAGTTTACTCTTCAATTTTAAATTCTCAATACCACACAGCAACGAGGAAGCACAGTGTTCAAGAGGACTTAGTCCATCTTGGTGGGGAAGAAATGGCAGCAGGAAGATGGAATAGCTGGATATACTATCTTCACAGTCAGGAGGCAGAGTGCTATTGCTAAATTCATATACATATAATTTTTAGTAAATGGATTGGTTGTCATTATTAATAATGAGTTATTTCAAGCTCTCTTTTACTATTTTCTAGGACTTTATTTTCTCATATTGCATCTTTTTTTTTCTTATGCTTGTGTGTATATTTCCCTTTAAGAAACCATTAAGTTGTTAGGCTCTGCAACACTCCTACACTAGAGCTTAATCATTGACATACTGAAGAGATTTTTTCCATGTAGTTATGTTAGATAAAAACTGATAACTGAGAAAGATGTGACTTGGCAACAATGGGAGGGAGTAATCAATATGCCCAAGAGCAGTTAATGATTATGACTTTGGCATAATCTGTTCCTGACAATGTTCTCCTTCTGATTTGATGGTATGGTGATAGACACGAGAACGGAGAGCAAATGAATTAATTATTTAGAATAGGGAGTACAAGTCATACTTGAATGAGTATGCTTTGTCCTGAACATCACAATAATGGAAGTTTTTTTTTTTTCAGCAAAACAAACTGATGTATCTTATCCTAATAGCTGAATCTGTCTTGGTGTACAAGAGAGAGGTTGTGATTTTCAATTTAAATATTTTTAATTAAAGAATTAAAAAATACAGTAATAATGAAGTAATTTAAGTTTTTAAAATTCTTTTGATATTATTCAGTCATGAAGTAATTTTTGTAGAGGACACCCATGCATGTGGATTGTGATAACATGCATTTATTTTTAACTTATTTTATAATATGTGTTTAAGATATGATATGTCTTCATATGCAAATGCATAGAAAAACAAAAAACTAGATTGAAAGATTATATATGAGCCACTCTCTATGGTTACAGGTTCCATACATGTATAAGAATATTTATAATCCATTCTTTCAGCTAATTTTCACTGTCAATACAAAGTTATCACCACAGTCTATATGAACATTAAATCCTTAGGATATAACTCATCTGCACAAGCAAAATCTTAACCCTTTGATTTCCTTCTGCCTGTTTTTTCTCCTTCTTAACTCTAGTAAGCCACTTTCTATTCTATGTTTCTACTCTATGTTTCTATTTGCTTGACTTTTCCTAAGAATCCATTTGGATATTTCCTTTCATCTGTGGCTTAATATTAAATGACAGGCATCCGTGCCTATGCATGTCATAGTTAAGACCATTAAGTGTTTATATTCTTAACATAAAAACCATGAAATTGATAATGTATACAACCCTATAACCCTACATTTTGATTGCTAATACTTGATGCCTTTTCCTCCTAAGAAATATAATTTCTCATCTTCTGCTATTTGTTTTTATATATTTTCTTTACATCCTCAAAAATAGTTTAGAACCAGACAGTAAATGTTCCCCCCTATTTTCAGACACAGCTTATGAAATGTGCCATAGGATATGTAATAGAACTAAAACAGGCGAGAAACTTGTGTGAGAGAAGAAGTAGGTTGTTCAGCAGATGATGATGTGAGAAATGTTTCAGGAAAGACATGTCGGTGGATGGAAGGAGTCTTCAGTGTGAGGATAACTGAGACAGATCTGTAATATCTGGAGGGGAAGGTTCCAATGAGAGACAGACATGGATTTTCCTTAGAAAATGCATCTCATAGAAGCACTGTGATTCTGTTGGCTAACTTCACAAAATGTTAGCATGTTTATGTTAGAATTTTATTGAGTAAAAGTAAAGTAAGTAAACAACATGAGTTTTCATGAAAAGTTGTAGTTTAGCTTAGAGACACCAAGGGCAAAATAGTTATAAAGAGTTCCAATAGTGGTATATAAAAAGATGATAGATATTTTAAAAACTATTACATCATGTATGAAATAAAAATTCTATAGGAATGTAAGTATTACTATGCTGTAAATGGTGACCGAACATAATAATCGCAGGCACTGTATATTACCTCTGGTTACATATAAAATGTTAAGTGAGTAGCATGCATTTTCTTATTCCTCATAATATAAGGAGGAAATTTGTCTTCATTTTGTAAGTAAAAAAAATAATGATAAAGAAGCCAAAATGATTCATCTGAATCTAACCTGGATCTTGACTAGATGTAGTGTTTCATGCCTGTAACCCTAGCATTTTGGAGATTGAGGCCACACATAGGTAAATAACTTTATAATTTTTGTAAGAGTCAAGATCACATTGTGTTCCATGGACTGAAGTCCCACTTTCTTATTACTGTATCCAAATTATACTTATATAGTTATTTTTATGAATCAAGGGGATAATATTTAGACATGGGAGCACATGCTTATATGTTTTTCCTTGCACAATCTAAACCATTTCTTGGATCTTTATCTAGTCCCTCGTAACATTCCAGTCTGGCAGTATTTTCTTTGACTATATTCATAAAGGGTAAACATCTACATGTCTCAAAGATATTTGGGATTTTAGTTGTACTTATATACTTATTAATTGTACTGGAGAACAAACACAGGGCCTTCTTCATGCTGGGCACGGGCTCTACCAATGAGTTAAATCTTCTGATATAACTAGTCATAGTTTAAAAAAAAATCTCATCCATCAAAGTCAAAGCCAAAGCCTGGAAAATAACCACCATGCAACACAATTTGGGCACATTATTCTCTGCCCTGGTCACTTGCTGTTTGTCTACTCAACAAAATCTTCCTCAGCCCCATTGTATCAACTAGAACAAACTAGGCATTCATCAGCCTTAAGGAGTGTGACATAGCTTCTCCCTTTGCTCCTCTTCAAGACATTTGCTTGGGCAATTCTATCATCTCCAGGTCTTCCCAGTAACAGTAAGCATAATATTGCCATTTGCTACCATTTCTCCCTAAGAATTTTTGTACCCACATTAACAGATTCTTATGTTTTTCCTGTAGCACATATTGCATCCTATCTTACTACATTTTTATTTATATTTATTGCCTCTATTTTCACTTTATTTTTCCATTATTAAATGTAAATCCAATTAGTTATTGAAGAAGTATTGGTTCTTCTTACTTCCATTCGTAGGTGTTTTCATAACTTAGGACAGAGTCTATTCTAGACTAGACACCCAGGAAAAGGTTTTTAGAAGTGTGACAGTCATTACATGGAAGTGAATCTTGATATGTGGTTAAGTGATTTTATCCTCAGGAGGGCATTGTTTATAAATATCACATTCTAGTGGATAAAAGTATCCAAGTGACTGGTTTCCAAGATTTCCATGCTGATTTCTCAGAATGAGACGAAAGTTACGCATGAAGATTGTGGGTTTTCATAGAACAGAGTAGCTACAATGACGTATGACTAGCTTATCAAAAGGACTCTTGTAATCTTCAGTTTTTTTCTAATTGGAACTGATTTCTTTTAGTAAGTAACTAAATTACTGTAAGTCTTTGGATTCCTAATGATTTGTACATTTCCCCCATTCTACAATGAAGTTCTCTTTTCTTTAGGAGATTTTTTTCACATATTCTTTATTGAATAACAAACATTTGTTAAATATTCACTGTTCATTTTGAGCCTTTCTTTACTTCTTACTCAGAGGCCCTCATAATGTTTTCAGGAGGCCAAATACTTTGTATATTTAAATATTACACAGTTCAAATACTCTATTTCAAAAGTAGTTGAAAACAAACTCCATAGATGATCCATGTTTTGCTTTTATGTAAAATATATTTACTGAAATTGAGAAGCACCAATATTTTGTGATCTATTATTATATAACATAATATAGAATAACATTGATATTAGCTTTATTATCCACGAGAATTCCAAAAGTGAAACAGCTGAGACATTTTTGCAGGACGGCATTGTGATGGATAGTGTATTTTGATGAGGGAAGCAGGGTTTTTCCTCAAATTAATGAATCAAGTGCAGTATACACTGCTGTAATAGCTTCTTATATTAATCCCAGACCAACAGGTAATCAGTTCTGCAGAATTTACTTTATTGAAAAAGTAAAGGAAATAGACTTACTGACCTACATAAGACCCACACAGAGAAAAAGTTGTTTAATTTTTTTTTATGAATTTATGGGATTTGCCAGAGAAAAGTAAAAGCAGAAACCAAGGGTGAGAGGATAGGCAAGCTGGCACAAAACACCAGCTCTAATTCAGCATTTCCCATGATGTTTCAGGTTGATCTTCCCAGAACTTTTCCTGTTTAAAAAGAAAGACAAATATACACTTAGTGCGGTGTCGTCAGTGTTTGTCACATAGCCCACGGCACTTTTCAATATGGCAACACCCACCGATTACTGGTTTCTGTTGGTATCTATACTGCTATTTGCCCAAGTTAATTGAATCCCCCTATCTAACTGTGAAAGGAATGACTCTTAGCTGAATCTCAGCTGTTAATCCTTAGAACTCTCAATACCCATTACTCATAGTTGAAGAGTGGAAAGTAGATGGGTGGAGAAATAATGCCAATAAAGAATAAATCATAGTTCTGTCCTGGCAGAATATTTAAGAAAATGAATGAAAACTTGAAGCATTTTGCATTTTATAGCAGACTGCAGATGCAGGTTTTATCAGGTGTATGTCCTTCCATTCATTCAAATCTCATCCTAAACCCCAAACTTATGCTGAGAAAAATTTGCTATGAATCGCATAGATAGGTTACACATTAATGTGTTAATTACATATTGAAATCATTGTTGACATTTTAAACTATTTTTTTTAAGTAAAAAAAAGTAGAGCTAAAAAGATGGCTCAGTGTTTAAGAGCACTGGCTGCTCTTGCAGAAGAGCCAGGTTTGAGAGTCCCAGAACCCACATGCCAGCTCACAACCGTTTGTAATTCTAGTTCCAGGGAGTCTGATAACCTCTTCTGGCCTCCCTGGGCACAAGGCATGTACATGGTGCACAGACATGCAGGCAGGTAAACATAAAATAAAAATGAATAAATATTTAAGTAAAATGAAATGATAGAAAGCATAAGTATTATTAAAGATAAATTGTTATATGCAAAACGTATTACAAAGAAATCCCCAAATGCATTATGATAAGTACAAAGTAGTTAAAGTGTTTTGAAATAATATGTTTATTCACTTTTGAGACATGTGTTTTTAATCCATTTTCTGAAAGTAAATTTTTTCAGTCTTCACAGGAGATATGGATAGAAAATGCTGGGCTAGCTCAAGAAAATATTAGTCTAACTCTGGAAGTTTATGCTCACAAGACATAGGTGTGGTGGGAACAACACTTACACCAATGCCTTGCAGAAGGCACATTTATTTCCATATGTCTGGCCATCAGAGCCACAGAGTGGATCAGATTCCCGAGTGCAGAAGGTCTTGGGGTCACGGAACTCACCACAATTAATCTACAAATGGAAAAAGAGCATCACTAATATCATATCTAATAGACTAGTGACTTGGCCAGAAGCTTAACATAATGCATCCTGAAACAGGTACTTAAGTAGAGCGTTTTATTTCATTGAGACTCTTTATTAAAGATATAGGAACTTGAAAAATACATTATTATACTTAAGAGTAGATTAATAAGGTCTAATGCTGTAAGACATTTTATTCTAACATTAAATTGGTGTTGTTGAGAGTAGTTTTGAATAATATATGTCATTTCTTTCATAACATGTACTGTGTTAATGTACTCTAATAGTATGTCTGCATACTGTCAAAACATGATGATCCTTGAAGTGGAGTTTATAGGCAGTAATTGAAGTGTCTTAGTTTTTCTTGTGAGTGCAATACCCTTTTATATACTGAAAACAAAATTTGAATGTCTTTACACTAACTTCCTCTAAGAATCTGTTTGTAGAACTTGAACTTTGCTGACTACTATAGTAATTTATTAATGGCCCCCCTAAGCTGCTGTGTTTAGAAGAATCTTGAGGTTTCATCAGACTTATGAGAACATTTGTTATGTCTAATTAAGAACAGCTATCACAGAAATGATGGAAGTATTTACGTTAACAACATATCCTATCCATTACACTAATAAAAATAATTTCATTAGTAGCAGCAAGGTGATTGTCAATGCAAGAGTAATAGAATTAATATTTGGTGTACTTTCATTTTCAGAATATTAACAACATGATATCCATTGAACAAAACTTCTTCAAATATCAGGAACAATGGAGTGATATTTATAGATAAACAGAACTAAATCTTGTTCTACTTACACTGAAATAATATCCTCAAGCTTTTTGATATCTCCATAAAAGTTAGTCACTTTCCAAGATATTGCTTCATTTGAACTTGTACTATCACTGAGAGCTGTGTTGAGTTATATTGGACAGCAGGGAAAAGAGACTAGAGTAATTCTGGAATTGAGGGCCTTACCCATGCTTGACCATACCACTTCTCATTTTTGGGTCCGGAATTTCCAATAATCTATGTGGTTGAGTAACAATACATCCTTATTGAAAGAATTAGACTCAATGTCACTTTGTACCCTTGACTAAACCTATGACCAGGACACACAGATTTCATTAATATTGATTGTCAGTTTTAATGAACAATATAAATGTTATAGGTACTAAAATTTTATTGTATGAGAATTCCAGTTAACTGAGTATATTTTAGCTGTTATTGCCACAAAACAAACAATGGCTAACTATTTGAGGTAATAGGTATAATTAACTTCACCACAGTAACATTTTATCTAAGTTACCCTATAACTTCATGTTGTATACCTTATATACAAATTTATGTTTTAGAAATAGGATAGAAGTGAAATCTATGAGGCTTGACAAGAGAAATCCCTTGTTTAAGGTGGCAGATACCATTATATACTGACAAATTTGTCTGAATTTCACATGGGAAAATCTTCAGTGAGATAGTCATACAATTGTGTTTGACAAATAAACATATACATCAAGTTTAAGGTGCTTGAGAGTATCAATTGCATATTTTTGTTGAAATTTGGCATCTTATTATATTGTTGAAGCGAGAGAGTGTGGTGCTGACTTTCCTCTCTGTGCTGAAATACAAACTCATCTTCTTATGTTCCTTCCACATCAATAATCGTTGCTTTAAAATTTCAAATGGAATTAAATCTAGAAAATTTAATTTTCTCAACACACATTTGTCTCAGAACTTTATGTCATTTAAATCATTATCATACATGTTCACAGCTATATCCTGTTATGTGAATGTGAACTGCGGTGCTGTCTTTGATATTTCATTTGTTCCACAAGTGCTCAATGAGTAACCGAAGTATAGAAGACACAGCGCTGGATGCTGGTCAGAAAAGGAAGTGGTGATAAACAGCCTTTCAGCAAGCACAGCATTGACTCTTCATTAGATAGGAGAGAAGAGATGATATAATTGCAGCACCGTGTGGGGCAAATGCCACAGGAGAAAAACACAGCTTGTGTACAAGTTGAGCAAAAGGTAGCTCAGCTTTTTGAGGTACTAGGTATATTAACGTTATCATAGTAACATTTTTATCTGTGTTATATAACTATATAACTTCATGTTGTATGCCTTATGCAATAATTTGTGTTTTAGAAATAGGACAGTAGTGAAATAGCTGAATCCAGGATCTCAGACACGAAGAGAAACAAACAAACAAAAAAGTCTCTTACTTGAAAGAGACGATGCCTCAACACACCTTTCCCTGGCAATCGGCTCTCTGATTTTGTGATCCAGCCTCTTTTGTCCTTTGGAAAGCAGATACAAAGACAGGTACTTGGGGAGAGTGTTCACTTTGAGTAATTCTCATCCCCCCAGTCCTCCTCACCTATCACCTTCTCCTGCTCATTGGAAAAAAAGACTAGGAAGAGCAAAGGGTTTTAATAAACAAATTCACACTTATCAGCTGGCATGTGAGCAAGCTGCCTCAGAACAGATAGCTCTCACACTGCTAATTAGTGGATGCTTCAAGAGCCCTGCAGTGAGCTGAGAATCATGTTCTAGAACTTTTTCTATTGTTCGTTATATTGTCTTAGGTGAAACAATTCTTGTGTTTTAAATTACTTCAATGAAGAAAGCATGCCTTAAACACCTGCCATGACTTGTTCTCAGATTCTCAGGGTTGTCTTAGAGACCAAATATGGCACAGGAATTTGTATTGTTATGGTGGAATGTTCAAAATGGTCCTGGACTGCCTTTGTATTGGAGGCTTCGTCTTAAGGAAGCTTGGAGATCTGTTTCCATTCATATAGTATGATCTTTTCCATCACTGGTACTCTCCAGTGGCCTTTCTAGCTTAGATGGTCTGAGAAGTAACTAGGACTTCTTTCAATAAAGCTGTTCTGTCTTTAGTTCTTTAGCTGGATGAGAAATATGATCCTCCTTGTCTCCATGCTTCTTCTAGATCTAGAGAAGCCTCTGCATTCTCTGAAAAGTTTAAGCCAGATCACTGGCATCAGAAGAACCTAGGGATTACAGAGGCACCAAATGATAGTGTAGTTATCAGGAAACCTCTTCTATAAGACAGCATGGAGGGGATAGGAGGAGGCCATAGCTCCCACCCCATGAGGAAAAACACTAAGATGTATTTATTATTGGCATGCCTTTCTTTTGCCTGAATTCCTTCTTTTTAATTTGATTGTAGAGTCTTGAATGACATTCAACCGATAGGCTTCTTAGTGGAAGTCAAAGCAGACCTAGATTCGGGGAGATGGTAGGATTATCTTCTCTCCACTTAGGTTCCATTTTTGGAGCATTGGGGGAGTCAGGAGAACTGAAATGCCCTCTGGATCTAATGAAAATACATCCAAAGAGTTGTGCTTAGAAGGTTGGGCCCCCAAATTGAATTAGGCTGAGTTGGACTTGAATTTTGCTTCTCATACTTATTAGCTGCATTACATTGAGTTTAAATTTCTAACATATGCATCAAGAGGCTGGTAATACCTATCTAGTGGGATCAATGTAGTAACTCTTCCTACAAAAGCACTCTATAAACTATCAAGTTCCACTTGAAATAGTGTTACAGTGAACAACAGTCAGGTAAATTGTATCCTATCCCAGAATTATATTTTAATGTTGTTTGGATTGCTTTCAGATTTAATAAGAAATACCATTCAATCTTCTTTGATATTTAAGACTTCTATGCATCATTTATCCCAGTATTTTCTTCCCTCCTTCTCCCCAACCTGATCCTTCCTGTTTCTAAGACTGGAATTGGGGGGGGGGCGGGCATTTGGGATGAAGTAGAATCCTAGTGCAATGGAAACTTCATGAAATCTATGAGAGTAACCCTAGCCAAGACTCCTAGTATTGGGGGACATGGGAGCCTGAACTGGCCAACTTCTTTAACCAGGAAAGGTCTCAAGTAGAGGGATTGGGACACCAATCCCACCACAAAATTTTCCATCTACAGTTTATCCCATCTGCAATGTTCTGGGCCTGGAGCCTAGCAGAATTATCATCAATGAGACTAGAGAGACTTCATCCAACAACTGAGGGGAGCAGATGCAGAGTCCCACAGCCAATCATTAGGCAGACCTTGGGGAGTGCTGCGGGGAGGCGGGGAGAGCAGAGGGGGATGGGAGGAACCAGAGGGGTTAGGGACACCATGAGAACATAGTCCACAGATCTATTGACAGGGACTCATGGGGACTCGCAGGTCAGGGAGCCTGTTAAGGGTCTGACCTAGGTCATCTGCATATTTGTTATGGTTGTATAGCTTGGTGTTCTTGTGGGATTCCTAACAATGAGAGTGGAGACTGTCTCTGACTCTGTTGTCTACTTGTGGGACCATTTTCCTCCTACTGGGTTGTCTTGTCCAGCCTTGATATGATGGTATGTGCCTGGTCTTACCGTAGCTTCTTATGCAGTGTTTGGTAGATCTCCCTGGGAGAACTGATTTTTTTCTGAGGGGAAGAGGGGTGGTGGATCTTGGGGAGATGGTTGGGGGGGGGGGTTGAGAGGATGAGAGAGGGAAACTGCGGTCGGGATGTAATATATGAGAGAAGAATATATATAAAAAACTACCAGGGCCTTGGATATCAAACTGAGTATCGGCCTGCCCTCTTGTGGTTCTTCAAAGAACTGTTATTTCCTAAAAATTTTCAGGAATGGTATGATATTTTAGTACTCAGATTTATTTACTGAGGCAATAGAATTGCTTACTTTCATTGAAATTTGAGCACACATGCTTATAAAGTCAACTAAAGACTAGGGATGAATAACATTCTAATCATTTTAAGTTTACAGATCAAGCCAATCTAGAAAATGGTATCTTTTCCCCTTTGCTGAAACACATTTCCAGTCAATTCCAACTCCATCCTTTTATCAACTCCAGTCTTCTTAACCCATTATTCTCTAGACCAGTGATTCTCAACCTGTGGGTCATGACCCCTTGGGGGATAAAATGACCTTTTTACAGGGGTCACCTAAGAACACTGGAAAACATAGATATTTACATTACAATTCATAACAGTAGCAAAATTAGTTATGAATTAGCATTAGGAAGGTTGAGAAGTACTAGTCTAGACTAGCCTTCCACTTTTATGTGCCTCTGTTCTCTTAGAAGTGATCTCCAAATATAATAGTTATGGCAATACTTATTAGCAATAAAATTTATACTAGTCCTTATGATATGTACAACTCTTGATCACCAAAATCTTTTTAAAACTTCTAGATATATATAACATTTCCCTTGTTTTTCAATTGTTCCTTTTGCTTTTTCCTTCCTTAATATTCCCTCTAAGAATATATATATGTATATATATATGATACACACACACACACACATATATATATATATATATATATATATATATATATATATATATATATATACACATTCTCAAATAATATTGATTCATCCCAGGCTTTTACTTTGGAATTTTCATTAATAATCAAATTTCTAATTTTCATAAGTCAGAGGATTAAGACACCCCAATTACTGGTTTAATTCGTAGTTAAGAATTGTTTATTTCTAAAGCACCTCTTCTTTTCCTCTCTACTAGACTTATATTCTAATTGTTCTGTTTTCATGAAAGTGCCTCTCTTCAAATTCCTCAGCCTGCTCTCTGACTGAAGCTGTCATTTTTTCCTTTAAAATGTCCTCTTTTCTTTCTTTCTCAACCTCACTTCTTTGCTAATTCCAATGTACTACCTGTAAAAGTCCTTAGCATTTCCTATCCAGACCAATACCATCAGTTCGGATCTATATGAGATTGCCTACTGGTATCAAATAATTTCTACATATGGAGAAATGTTATTTTAAACTATAGTGTTCATCATATTTCTTGCATAAAACAGGATGACAATAATCATCACATCAGATTTGCTAAAGAATAGTACTACTTGAAGCCTTTTACAGAGACTGCATGGAGGCTCTGTATTGCTAATTACAGCTAAGTCAATATGGACTCAGCAGTCCTGGGACTTGATTTCACCCACTTCCTGATGCTGAGAGACTTAACCCACATTCTCTTCACCAAGCTTGAAAGTTTAGTTCCACCTGTGGTTACATTGTGGATACTCTCTAATGCCTCCAAACTGCATTTACGTATTGTCAGTACATTAATTTTAAAACAAAGGTAATTGGGAAGATCCAAGAACATCAAACTCATCTTAGTGGTAGAATGCTGTGTTACAAATGTACTAAAATGAATCAGTCTTTATCATAAAATGCAATAGTTATGCCAAGGAGCACAACAGAAAAAACAGTTGCTAGGGTCACATGTTTAAATGGCTCTTTAAGGGTAAAACACCCAAACTTCCAGCCTGGAGAGTGAAAATAATAGGAAAGTAGAAAACATCCCTTCTTTCTGGAGCTTAGGCTTGTCTGTCTGGTACGGTATTCATTACATAAACTAGGTTAGCCTTAAAATTAGATGATCCTCCTGCCTCATCCTTCCCAGAGCCAAGGTTACATGCCTGGGTGTGACAAAAAAAACACGACATACCATGAAGAATGGTTGTAGAAGAATGGGAAATTTGTAAAGACCCACAATTAGGAGTGTGCACTATAATCTCCCAGAAGATGCGTCATGGACAAAATTCCTGGCATGAGAAGAAGGACTTGAGTGCTGAAGGAAACCCGCCTTCCCTTTGGCTTGGCTGGGTCTGACTTGAGCCAGCGTGTTCCTACCATCAGTAATTCCTTCTGCCCCACTCTCCCTTTGGCCATGAAACAGGAAGAGTAAGTCCACTTGGGTGTGGTCTCAGAGGGCAGAAACTTCCTTGTATTTTATAGTTCCAAGGCAGCAGCCTTGGCAGTGCAGGTGTGGTTCACAATGATTCAAATATTTAGTTCAGGAAGAGGCTTTACATAGCACTGGACTCAACCTTCATCTTAAAATGCGAAAATGGAGGTAATGATAAGGGAAAGATATCAACCAAAGCACATAATGAGTAACTGTCAATTAGATTTCATTCACCTTGACTGTCTTCAAAACGAGTATTTCACAGTCTGGCTTGGTTGCTGTTATTTTGTTTAATTACTAGATTTTGTTCTGTGTTTGTATCATCTATCATCTATACAGTTGTTTAGAATGCAAAGTCAAACTCCTTAACAATTCAACTGTTACTGACTGTCCTACATGAGGATCTGTGTATTTAGAAAGCATGCCAAGTGACCTTAAAGCAAGCAGACCATAAGACTTTGACTAATGTAAAAGAACAGGATAAATAAATGGCAGATATTACATGACCAATACAAAACACAATTAAACTCTCAGAAATGAAAATCCCAAGAAAGAAAGTGACCTAAAGGTTAATGAGAAAACTGGGGTTAAATTTCAGATTCATGTGCAATGCTTCTATTATCTTATTTTATAGCTAAATGGAATATGAAACACATTGGCTGAGTCTTAGGACCTTTGGGTTTGCTCCTAAGTTTAGTATAAGCTGTAGCATGACACTTATTTGAGTATATACATTTTAGGATATGCAGTTTCATAGAAGAACACAAATACATATGAGTTGGCTATATAAATTACAAGACACAATCACTTTTAGATATACCTTAATTTATCAGATGATAAAATAAATTCTTACGAATACAATGCACACAACAGAGTTAAAAAGTTAGGTTTTTAACTTTTTTTTTTGCATGCCCAGTCAGTTGGCAACACTGTCTGAAAAATTTGATCCCAAGAATTCTTCGACATGCAAGAGCTAGTACTCAAATCAAGTTGAAATGCCCAACAGATGGAGAAGGATCAGCAGGGCAAACAACACTTATTCGTAGAAGTTTTCAATAGTTAGATTTAAAAAAAAAAGTACAGAAAAATTGCTGTTGAATAAATCTAAGAGAAAAAAAAACCTTTATGAAGAAAATCTATGCCCAGTTTTAACCCCAACTTGCATTTAAATTTGAATGCTGCAGACTGTATATCCTTTATACACAAAATTTTGGTCATTTCTTATTTTAGTAAACATGAAACAAACAAACAAACAAAAACCCCAAAGACCTCTCTTCTAACTCTATTCAAGTGAGTTAATTACAGATCAGTAACTAATGTGCATAGAATGCTTACAATTTTCCAAATGATTTGCCTGGCTTCTGCAGTTTAATGATAACTGTAATTCTATGGGGTGAATTAGTGCCTAATTTTACAGCCATGGTATTTGTAACATAGAGAACTGAGAAATTCTTCAGCTCAACAGCCTGGTTGCGTTGCAGATAGAACATAAACTTTATGTCAGACCCATCCCATATTTGTGTATACTCACAGCACCCTAACAATGAATAAAAATACAGCTTTAAGCTCCTTTAAACTTAAAATTGTATACCATGAGAAAATGTAGTTGAAAAATCTCATTGCTTCATCTGATATCTCAATTTGGCCTTTCTGTTCAATCCCCCCCCCCCCCGCTTCTTTCACAGCATAGCCACACCTCTTTTTAGCCATAGAATAGCAGCCATATTCTACTTAGGGCAGAAAAATACAGACAGACGGGTACTCACCTTCCCTTCTTGACCAAAGGCACCTGAAAAAAAAAAGCACAAATTCCAATCACTGTAATTTCTGAATGTGTAGAGGTCATGTACAAATTTAGCCAAAATATGCACACATCTTTCAGGTTGTTGGCCATGTCATGAAGCCTCAATATGTCTTATTTTCATGTCCGTTCACTTCTTCAGGAGCAGTAGACTATGAAGGAACACATATGTTGGGGGTTAGGATTAAGAGAATGATGAAGGTTTAAGAACTAGAGATCAATGTCACAGGTTTGGCCTCACTTTTTGTTTACTATGGGAATGATTTTATCATCTTTGGCAGCACATCATAGAAGTGGAGTTGGAAAGAATCCTTTAACCAATATGCCAAGATGCAGTCCTTGTCTTTGCTGTCAAAAGCATGTGTCATGGACACTGGGGAAGTTAGCTGTTTAGTGAACTCGGGATTGCTTTTCTGTCCTTACTGAAACTCAATTTTAAATATATGACCCAAATACAGATCGTGAAAGACCAATCATTCCTCTTTCCATGACTCATTTTTTTATATCTTCTCTATTTCTCTAAATTTCTGAAGATGGATCCCTATATAGTCTCCTCATGCTCTTCTTCCTTCTTAACATTAGCATCCATGGTTTTAGATGTGTGATGTTTTTGGTGCAGCTGAGAATGTATCAACACCTTTCATGTATGTAAGCCCAAGACTTATTCAATGAGGAAGAGGAAGTACAGACAGATGCTACTGCCAACATAGGCCAGTACTCAGGCATGAAATGCAGATGTTCTTCCAAATGCAGGGTATTAATGGTTGTAGGATAATTCGCAACTTTTAAATTTTATATGGGCCTCACTGTCTCTTTATGAGCTTTACCAACAGCACTGATTCATAACTGGCACAGTAAGTGATTATTATGAGTACAAAACCTTCTGCTACACTCATTGAAAGTTATGTTATGAACCCAGACATGCCTAGGACTCTGCATTTTGTAAATTCTGTCAGTGATTTTTATGGTCTTGGAAAATTATTACAATATTCAGTCAATGTTTCACTTTGAAAAATTTATACTGGGAAGAGGAAGGATTTGCCTACTGTTGCATATCTAGGAAACGGCAAGGCAGGAGCAAGATTCATATTGACAATACTTAAGAAAAATTACTTTTTATTGTATTTTAATTATGGCATTAATATAAGACAATTGTTTAATGTTTATTATGTCTCAACTACTATGTCAAGCTCTTTATATCAATTTTCTCATTTAATTCTCCATATAAGAGTAGTTATTCTATATTTTCATTTAACATATGATGAAAAGAAAACTCAAATGTTAGAGGTGAATAATGGAAATGCTAGGACTTAAATTAACTTTCTCAGTTCCAGCATTAGCTTCCTTGAGCCTGTTACCCCCATAAATAAATGACATCTGCTGTGTCTAGGAAGCATCCATGCTCTGGAGAACTTGATCTTGTTAAAGTAAGTTCATCTCTACAAAGATAAGCTGCAAAGGATGACAATTGACTTCAGGGGCTAAGTTTTGACATAAGTCCAACTTTCTGCTGCCTCACAAAATGTTTTGAGTAGTTTAATTTTAAGTAAGACTTACTCAGCAATGTTACAGGAATCTTTCATCTACTTTTAATATTTTTTACAAGAATTTGTTTCTGTAAATATGACTAACTAGAATGAGCTTTCTCTATCAACTTAATTTCACTGCAATTAAAAAAAAATCTTCATCAACTTGAAAACTTTGATGGCAACAAAGTTTATCATCTACTGTCCCAGAAAATGGAACATCATCCATGGAAATCCACTCCTTACCCCAAGCCAAGCTTAGTCGCATCTCTTTTCATTCACATAGCAAACAGTATCTAAGAGGATATATAGGACACCAGTGGGAAAGGTAGGACTGACATGGGTCAATTTACCCACATGGACACTATGTCCACTTACTGACAGATAAAGAAGATTCATCAAGGATTCCTTTGGCCTAGAAATGTAGTCTTTTCATTTCCAGATGAATGTTACTTTACAGTGTGACTTTGAACCATCTCAGGTGATCAAATGCATATCTGTTGCTCATTCAAGTGGTCCAAGGTATTGCCTGCTCGAGGAATAATTTTCGTTTCTTGTTGCATATGCTTCTTTTTTCCAAAGCTCCATAACTTCTTTTAAAAGCTTTCTATACTGAGTTTTTACCCTCCCCTTCCTGTTTCAATTTCAATTTCTTGAGTCTCTTTGAAATAACAAAAAAGAACAGGAAAGTTTTTCTGAAAAGCCAAGATTAGTTTTAAGGCCACTTATTCATCTTCTAGACTTGTACTTACAAATAAGCATCAACTGTGATGTCTTTAGGACCTCAATAAAAATTATACATTTCTATTGACTTGGTATAATTTCCTTTTCTGCATAACAGTTTATTACATGAAGAACAGGGTTATGAACTCTTTATAGGAGAATTGAGGTGATCTATAGCAGTCCTTAGTGCAAGCCTAAAGCAAAGCATATGCTCTGGGAATGACACTTCTTATCATCCTTACCAGCATCATTATCATCATTACTACTGTCATCACCATCATCATATTCTTTCTTAACTGAGTTCATATAAAATCATTAGCATTTTGAAATCTAAGGAAGATCTACACTTCTTCTTGCTGGTTCCATGTAACTATGGGATATTAATTCTAGGGAAAAACTTACCTGAGAAAAAGCAGAGAAGAGCCAGAGAGAGGAGCAGAAAGACACCTGCTGTTTTCATGGTGTCAGTTAGCTCACTCAGATCAAGGCTGCTTTGCTCAGCTTAGGTTCTCTGTCAAGACACTTCCCAAGAAACCTAGAATAAACATTCAGACTTATATATATATAGAGAGACAGCATTAAAGGAGTTGGAATCTCCACCTTCTTTATAAAAATCACCTTCTAAAACCATGTGCAGTCCTGTACACTTTAGGCGTTTATGAGGATCATCACCAGCTTAAAGAAATGCCTCATGTGGCCCATCAATCTTAAGAAGAAAAACAATTAGGTGAGTCACACCTTAGATCTTATTAGTGGAGGATGCTATTTTCTTTCAGTAACCTACATTTTCCTAGCAACCAATACATCCCCCTGCTTATTCCCCGCAAGGCTCCACTATATTAAAGGGATGACTCACAGATGGCATTCTACTTCTCCTTATGTCTCTTTCAGACAGGTCCTATGTGTCTGTGGTCCAGATGAGTAACCACAGGGGAATGGAATTCCTGGGTGTAGCTTGGATTTTTCCAAGTCTTCAAGATGTACTTGAAGGAGAGAGGTATTCTTTATTGTTGCCAGAACTTCATCAGAACGAACATTTCAGAGCAGGAATAAGCTTGTCAGTTTAAAAATCACTGCTGCAGCCAAATGGAAATGATTTCCAATTTTTTAGTTAAAAACAAGCCAATGTATTATTTTCATTTTGTTAAAAATATTGAGAAGTTACTACATTGAGAATTTGAAATATAGAATATTGAATATTTTCTTAATTCTTCAAAGTAAAAGTGAAAGTTATAATGGATAGCCTTAAGTTTAAAATCTTTGGTAATATGTCTTTAAACAAGTTAAATGAATTTAGTAAGCATATGACATATCAAATGGTAAGATGCCATTGAGAACAGAAATATGAACAAAGAGAAAGTTATACTCATAGTTGGAAATTCTGCCTTGAAACATTATGTACTATTTAAAATACACTGAGGTAAATTATAACAAAATAAAATATAGGAAAATTATGTAAAATGTGGCCAATTGAAACATGGGGTATTGGTGTAATCTATTCATAAGTAAGCTATATGTTGTATGTCAAATAATTTCTTTTCGGCCGGGCGGTGGTGGCACACGCCTTTAATCCCAGCACTCGGGAGGCAGAGCCAGGCGGATCTCTGTGAGTTCGAGGCCAGCCTGGGCTACCAAGTGAGTTCCAGGAAAAGGCGCAAAGCTACACAGAGAAACCCTGTCTCGAAAAACCAAAATAATAATAATAATAATAATAATAATAATAATAATAATAATAATAATTTCTTTTCTTTTCAACATTTAAAAATGTATATATCACGTGTACCATTTACATCAAGACATTTTATTTTCTTTTGAAAATTTGAAATTGATAACTTCAAAAGCTAAGATAGATCTTATGTCTTTCAAAATGATTGATGAAATCTATTGGATTTGATAATCAGAATATTTGATCAATAGAAATTATAATTGTGACAAAAGTAGTTATTTTCATAGCTTTTCTAGTAATTATAAGAAAAGAACAATTAGGATGAAAAAAAGTCAATTTTGGTACATAAATGTTACCTTGCATAAACTTTGACCTAAGTTAATATATTAGTGATTCACCTAAAATGTGAAATATAGCTGCTTGAATTGTTTTTTATTTTTGAGACAGGGTCTCGCTTATGTAGCCCTGGCTGGCTTGGAACTTACTATGGAGACCAGGCTGGCTTCGAACTCACAGAAATCCAACTGCTTCTGCCTACTGAGTGTTAGGATTAAAGACACTTGCCATCATGCCTGGCTGGATTATCTTAAATATTATTTTCTCTATTTTCCACTCAACCCAATTACACAGTGCTTTTATGCTTAATAACTCCATGGTATAAAGTGCAAACATAAGTTTTGCTTCTAGATATGTGCATGCATATTCTTATACCATATATTATATGATTTGAGGAAGATTCATTGAAGCCTCAGTCTTAACATTTCCTGGAAGAAAGATCTAGATGTGTAGCACAGACAAGCCTCAAATTCATGATCCACCTGCCTCACTCTCCTGAGTGCTTGGGCCCTAAATAAGTGCTATCACACCTTGCCATACTCTTTAATGGGGTTCTGAGTCACATTCAGGTATCTTATGCATCTTTATTCGTTTGTGACAGAAATGCCTATAGGACTCTTTGTTTTTGTTTTTGTTTCTCTATTTTTCATTCAGCCTTTTAATTTGCTTAGACTTGATCAAGGTGAGTGATCTCTCCTGACTTTGTATGAATTATCTATAAACACAGCATCTTGGAAATCATCAATGTCACTTCAAAAATATTGAAAACAATGCGTATTCCATTAACTTATCTTCAAAATTACTATTGATATCTATTTATATCATTATTCATTTTTATGACATAGCAACAAGATTCTCACCTTTGAAAAATGTTTGGCATGAATATGTTTTTAATAAAAAGTACATGGATTACCTGTCACTCTGATCATTTCCCCCTGTTTATTACCATATGTTTTGATCCTAGCCGAGTATGAACCTCTCCTGAAATAAAAAGGCTTATAGTTTCCCTTTTATTTATGTTATATCCCTATTCACCAATTTTAACCATAGTGCCATCTTTGCTTGTAATATTGTTCTTATTTTCTTCAAGATAGATGAATGACTTCATTACATAGGAGTAAAATGAATTGCCACTGCTAAAATGGTCAGATACTATTATAAGAGTTGACACAGTCAGTGGGTCAGAACAGAACATCCAAGAAATTTTCAGTAGATGTAAGAGAATTCAACACTCTCTCTCTCTCTCTCTCTCTCTCTCTCTCTCTCTCTATATATATATATATATATATACACAATATGTATATACAAACATATACATACATGTTTAATGCACATATATGTATTATAACAGTGGGGCCACACCCTAATAGAAAATTAGCTCTCTTTCTCTCAGCAGTTATCAATTACCAAAAGCTCCTCAGCTAAAGGTGGGACTTGCCCACTTCACCTTCATGCTGATATTTTGTCTAATTTGAGTTTGCCCAGGTCTTGTGTCTCCTACTTCAAACTCTGTGCATTCATATGTGCAACTTCCCTGTTAGGGCTGAAAATAAATACTATTTTGTTGTGGTCGTCCACTGCCTCTTGTTCTCATAGTCTTTCTGTCAACTCTCCCACAGTGTTTCTGAAGTCTTTGGAGGAGGTAGTGTGATTCAGATGTCCCATTCAGGACTGAGAATTCCACAGCCTATTATTCTTTGCCCCGTGACCAGTTGTGGAACTCTGTGTTAATCTACATTTACTTCAAAGAGAAGCTTCTGTGATGAGGTTCAAGAGATGCACTCATTTAGGATTATAGTGACAAGTTAGTGAGATGAAAAATGACACAAATGCTGGTGTGGATTTGAACAAAAGAGAATATTTGTTAATAACTGGTAGGATTATAAGCTCATGTAGCCACTGAACCAATCAGTGTAGTAGTTCCTTTTCTAAAAGTTAAAAATACATCTACCAAGCAAAACAGCTGTACCATTCCTCAGCATATACCCCAAAGACTTTATGTTCTATTGTAAAGATACTTGCTCATCCATGTTCACTGTTACTCTATTTAAAATAGCCAGAAAATGAAAATAGTCTAGATGCCCATAAATCAATGAATGGATAATAAATATTTGGTACATTTATATAATAGAATATCATTCATCTGTTAAGAAAAGCAAAATTATGAGACTTACAGGTAAATGGATGGAGCTAGAAATAGTCATTCTGTGTGAGGCAACCCAGCTCAGAAATACAAATACATGTTTTCTCTCATTTGTGGATTGTGGGGCGTTTACCCACCAACTCCACAGCTCCCCAGAGTTTTCTTGAATGCGAGCAGCAGGAAATATTAGATAGAAGGATTTATTGTGGAGAAAATTGCCGAGAGAAACAGACAGAAAATAAAGGATAGCCTTGAGAGGGCCTGGAACCTATTCCAACGGGCCCTGTCTCTGCCCCAGGGTTTTTATAGAGACGCCAAGGGGTGGGGCAAAAGACCTCCTCCCCCAGCACAGCCAAGTGCAGACCATCTCAGACACCTACACTCAGGCCTGGTCCTGATCACCCTCTATTCGGACCTGCTGGGTAAAGCCACGAGGAACCCAAGAACAGGCTCCCACAATGGATGTAAGCTTTGAATGTTTCAATATGTGTGTTTCATTTGGAATACTCACAGAGGATAGGAAACTAGTAAAAGCATAGGTCAGGACTCAAGGGAAGAAAGCTAGAACAAGTGATATGAAGTGGTAAGGAGTAATAATGGAACAGGAAGGGTTCGGTGGGATGGGGGACAGGAAGCAGAGTACAGTAGAGAAAACAGAGAGGAATAAATAACACTAAGAACCTTCTGGAAAAGTCATATGAAAAACTTCTATGCAGAAATTTCCTAAACTATAAACCAGTACAGGTATAAAATGTGTCAAACTAAAATTACTTTATAATAGGGAAAGAATGATACAATTAGACACCACAGGATCACAGATAAAAAGTTCACTGCCAGTCCTGGATGACCTCTATTAGAGTTGTTGGCCAGTGAGTTCTCATAGATCCCCAAATCTTGCTGGCTATTGCTGTTACTCTTGGTTACTCTCCAGAATTGATGGTAAGTCCCTGTTGCTGAAGACACCACATACCTGAGTCATAGAACATGGAGAAATCAAGCTGTTGCTGTCTGAAAGCTTCATTGCTACTGGCTAGCTTTCCTAGTGCTGGAATGTGCTATTCATACTATCAAGAGAAGAAAAGTAATCATCACTCTTATCGAGCTGTAAACACTGTGAACTTCAGTAATGACCGGCCTGGCAAGGTCTATCTGAAGCAACAGTGGCATGAATATCAAGGGAATGAACCACCTTTTGGTTGGGTTTGGAACCCACACCTGGCACCATTATAGGTGTCAATATCCTGACGTTCGATAGGTCATAGGCCTAGTATTAAACTAACTGCCTATGTTATTCTTTACTTTAATCAGTGCGTGCCTAAATTCTGCATACTAAACAAACCAAAGTTTGTATTACAGTACTTTCCTTAGAACATTTATTTTCAAAGGCAAAT